GGCCCTGTACACTAAGTGTTTTGTTTTTTAGTTTGTTTTCCTCTTTTGTGCCTTGCGGGACGTGATCCCGTGACCTGTAACTCGTTTGTTATGTTTGTGAGTGCTGCACCCTATGGGACTTGATCCCTGAGTCTGTCACTAGTAGTCTCTATTAGCCTTAGGCCATTCCGCCTTTTCCTTGTCATAGGTCTAGGCCCCCTTTTCCCTCTGTTTCCATCTAGATGCAGATGAGTATTGGGTTGTTGCCTTTGGAGTCCGTTGTAGGTGTAGGCAGAGCGTAGACGTAGCGGACAGGGAATTTGGTTTTGGTCTTCTCACATTTCTTGTTGGCTGGGGAAACTCTGCCCGTCCGTTGCTGGAGCAGTGCTGCTCCATTTTGGGCGAGGTCGTCTTCTTCCTCGAAGCCCAGCCATAGCACTGCATGAGCGCTTCCACAGGACTGAGTTGTTGGGTTTGGGTGCTGCCATCTTCCACTTGGCAGCCATATCTGCTGTTCCTCCTCTCGAGGAACTTCGTCTTCTTCAAAGTGCTGGATCGGTTGTCTCCTTCTTCATCAGGACTTCCAGCGCTGCACTTCCGTGCGGGTTCTGAGCTGGTGCTGTTATCATTAGGGTTGCTGGGTCAGATTGGCACGCTGTGACAGCTGTGGAGTTACATGCTAGCGCAGCCATAGCCAGGGAGGGGTATAAGGTGGCGAGGAGGAAGAAGAAGAAGACTCCTGCATACTTCGTTGACACTTGCTTCTGGTTGTTTGGGGTTGTTGTAAATGCGGTTGTGATTCTTGGAACAAGTACTCTGGATTGATTCGAGAGGGACGAGGGATTGCAGAATTGAAATTCCTTTTTCAATTCTGTGTGTTTTGAGCTTCCGCTGTGCATATCTTCTCTCCGGTTTTGTGTGCATTTGTCTCCTTCGAGTCTACTCTGCAATTGCATGCGTGTATGGGAACGTGTGAATTCGTTGTGGATTGAAGTTCAATCGGGTACATAACCTGTCTCTTATACACATCTAGATGTGTATAAGAGACAGCCAAAGATATGCAGGGGGGCCGAACCGCTGAGCGGAGAGGAGACCGTCCCGCCTGGAACCGGTTTCTTCCCACACCCGGCAGCCCTGACTTCGGT